ATAAGAATTACTAGGGGTCTTTAGCCTCAAGTTAGTCTAGCAGACGCAGAGTGTGGGACATAACGCCTCGTGGAGCACAGATGTGATAGCAGAGGTCGAATGAAATACTTGAACAAGAGAGATAGCAAACGGATCCTACAGGGCAAGAGGGATACTCTGATAAGACCTAGGAAAGAACTGCGTATCAATATGGCAGACTCTGATCATGAAAGCCACTCAAAAGGACACGCTACACTACATATAAATAGGCAAAGGAAAAAGAAAAAATGGTCATAGTGAAGGCGTGATACAAGATATAGGAGAGGTGAATATCCAAGACAGAGGCAGATATACCACAACTGTTTAGCACACATTTGGTCAAAGAATCGGCTTCACTTGTCTCTGACAAGTTTTGGTGTGGTACTAAGAATGGCAAGACTCACTGACGATGCTGGCAAAATGTCTGGGAATGTATCACGTCCACTGTTCAACTTTGGAAATGGTCATGCACACAATGGACTCAGACTAGGTGCGTTTCTCTAAGTCTTCCTACCAATATGACCAAGTTGCGAAAATAGGGTCAAACAACTTCTCTATAATAAATGTAGTTGGTTCGACTATTTAACTCGATTTTTACTGTGCATCTGAACAAATAAGCATTTATGAAAGTTGGAGCCCAAAAAGCTGTAATGCTAGCATAAATGCAAGCATAGTTCATTGGTATACGGAAGAGCTCATTAAACATATGGTAACCTAAAATCCCTTTTGAGTTAAAGGTAAGCCTCTGAATAGGCTACAGTCAAATAAATGCATGCGTGAGTGTTTCAAAGGGGTTACAGATTTGTCTAATCCATTAGTCCACGGCCCCTCATCTGCCTATGAAAAGTCTCCTACCATAAAATTTGAAAAGCGAAACCATGTGTGCATGTTGCAGAGTTTGAATGGCATGCTTGAATGAAATAAGCAAGAATGGAGGTTCAAATAAAACGGAGTATCCACAGGTTCAAATAATTGGTGTAACTAATAAACAAATATCAATCAAAATTTTGCAAACGTATAATGTGAACATTTGATATAAAATACAGTATTAAAAAAGTTATGAATCTATAAATTTTTTTTTCAAAGGTTTCTAACTATTACTTAAATCTACAGATTTTAAAATGAATGAAATAGCTCGTATTTCTGCCATTTGTTTGCAATCCTTTTATAAAATTCTATTTTTGTCCCAAAAATCGCTACTTAAAATTAGGATAAAATTCATATAGAAGCATTTAATTTTCTAAGAAAATGTTTAAGAGGCAGCTGTAAAGTAAAATTAATGTGCGTTGTTAAGAGCTATAAACATAAAACAGAAATGTGGTTAACTAATATCCTTCCAAATTTAGCTCGAAAAGTCAGTATTGCTGACTGCTATAGTACATAGGAATTTAGTAAACCTAGCATCTAACCATTCTTGATCAATGATAGTTTCGAAAAATACTCACCTCGCTAGAATGTAGACACTTTTTACATGATCATCTCTTAAAGTAAACTCAAGTGAATCACTTTCACTTAGCAAGAAATACACATGTCACTGGGCTCGACAAAAGCCTATCAGCAGGAAAGTTAGTTAGACTATTTAAAATGGATATGTACGGTCAAAACGGAGAAAATGGCGCGAAATAGAATATAAGTAAATCTATGAGATGAGTCAGGCTCATTTAGTTTGAGGTAATAAAGGAGTGGTAGTTGAATTTTACCACAATAATGAGTAGAACCTATGTTTTCATTGAATTTCCCATAGCCTTGCTTCTCAAAAAGTATTTCTTTCCCGGTTAGACTCCAGTATCATCAGCAGCCCCAGCGGAACTCAAGGCATGACAGCTTAACATATAATCTCGACACGTTAACCACTAGGCCACATCTTCACGAGTGCCCTTGGATCATAAGGTAGATGAGAATTTCAAGAAAAGCAAGACATTTTCCACGAAGCAAAGGTATATCTGCTAATACAAGCAAACAAAAAAAGTAATGATGTCTATAAACACAGCAAATGTAGCGTAGTGGTTAACGTGTCGAAAATATACGAGGCCCTATCATGGTTCGAGTCCCGCTGGGATTCTGAGGAGACCAAAGTGAGGTCGAAATTGCAGTT